TTTGTGCTCTCTAGAAGCATAGGCAGCCAGAGAGCAGGCAGAAGAGGTCCTCTCTGGGGGGCTGCTCTCCAGAACGGGGTCAGAGAGCGGGGGTAGTGGGGGGACAGCTAATGGCCTGCAGAATGGGTGAGGCCTGGCAGATTTTTCTTTAATCTGTGGCTCGTGTGTGAAAGTGTTTGGACAGATGGAATTGCCAGCTTTTTTTTTTTTTTTTGCCAGCTCCTTTTGAACATTTTGTCAGGACTCAGAGGAATCTGAGGCAGCTACCTCCCTACCAAGCTAGCAAAGGGAGTTTCCTGTTGGAACTCACCAGCTGCATGGACCAGGTAGTTGGAGGGTAGGTGTCATGCAGTCTGGGTCCTTGCGGGCCGCCTTCTCCCCCACCCATCCCCTCTGGCTGGTGCTCTCAGTCCTCATTGTCTTGCGGGAACTAACACAGCCGTATAAACTGACCTGAGTCTCTTCTCTCCCTTCTCTAGTCCACTTACTGGATTAGGTGTCCAGAGATACAGTTTTGCCTGTGGCTCTTCTCTGCTCAGTAACCTTCACTGGCTCACCATTGCCCATCAACAGTGTCTACTTTCTGAGCCTGGCATCTGGTGCCCACTCCTCCCTGCCAGCTTCGTTCCTATCATGCCCCTTTACACGTGTGTGGGGTTTGCCCCAAATGGACAACTCACCTAGTCCCAAATATGCCCTGTGCCTTTGCATCCCTGGGCTTCCCTTTGTCTTGTTTCCTCTGCTGGGAGTCCCCATGTTTCCTTCACTGTATGTTCAAATCCTACCTCCTGCAGAGTCCTTATAAGGGCCACGTCTGCCTCTCACAGAGGACGTGCCTGACCTTCTCCTTTTTCCAGACCCTTCCTCACAAACAGCACGTCTTGGACGGCATTTATCCCATTTTCTTTTAAGGTGGTTGTGTCTGGGTCTGAACATCTCACCCTTTTGGAGAATCATGTGTAAGAGCTACACTGTGCTAAGAGCTTCCTCAAACATCCCATTGACTCTTCCCAACAAACCCCTGAAAAGAATTCTAATACCTATTCTTTGTTGAATGTTTACTAGAGATGTTCTAGGCTGTTCTCAATATTTTGCCCAAATCGGCTCATTTAATCCTCCCATCTACTCTGTGTGGAAGGTTTTATTATCCCCCTTTTAAAGATTTTATATATTTATTTGACAGAGAGCACAAGCGGGCAGAGAGGCAGGCAGAGAGAGAGAGGAAAGAGAGAGCCTGATGCGGGGCTCGATCCCAGGACCCTGAGACCATGACCTGAGCCGAAGGCAGAAGCTTTAACCCACTGAGCCACCCAGGCGCTCCAATTATCCGCCTTTTAAAGATGAGGAAACTGAGTCCCAGAATGGTTGACTGGCCCACTAATAATTGTTTTTGCTGAGTGACTATTGGACCTCTAGAGGTTGCCGGCCATGCTTTAGTGCTCCCACTTGGCTGTACTTACAGATTGAGCACCAGCCTTTGGCCAACACGCAGGACTCCCTTCTCCTCACTGGTCCCTTCTGATGATCAGACAGCCTTAACTGTGGTTTTCCATCAGTGACACATGCTTACAATCCCTTAATGGTTCTTGCGTACTTGCCTTGTCGTTTTTTATCCCAGACTAATTTCTTCTTCCCCAGGCTGGCACTTTTTTGGCATGACACTGCCTGGGTTTTTAATCAAGGACTCCCACGCCCACATTCTCAGATCCAACAGCCACTCACTTCTGGCATTAGGCCCAGGGCTGGATGCCAGGCCTCCTGCTGGGACTGGCCCCACAGCTTCTCCAAATATTTACTTCCCCAGGACACCTGCCAAAGTATGGGCCGTGTAACTCATTCCCTGCATCATGGTTTCCTTAGGATCGTCTTGGGCAAAAGGGGAAACCAGCGTAGCCTTGTATCCCTTGTGTTGAGCACTGGGCTGACAGCGTGGTTGGTCCTTCCTAAATAATCACTGAATTAATAGCTTTATTCTTTCCCTTTTATTTTATTTTTAAAGATTGATTTATTTATTTGAGAGAGAGAGAGCACGCAAGCACAAGCAGGGAGGGGGGAACAGAAAGAGAGAGGGAGAGAAACCCAAGCGGACTCCCTGGTGAGCATGGAACCCAATGCAGTGCTTGATTCTGCGACCCCAAGATTATAACCTGAGCTGAGATCAAGAGTCAGACACTCAACCAACTGAGCCACCCAGGTGCCCCTCTTCTTTCCATTTAAAAAACCAGGGTTGGGGCACCTGGGTGGCTCAGTGGGTTAAAGCCTCTGCCTTCGGCTCAGGTCATGGTCCCGGCATCCTGGGATCAAGCCCCGCATCGGGCTCCCTGCCCGGCGGGGAGCCTGCTTCCCCCCCTCTCACTCTGCCTGCCTTTCTGCCTACTTGTGATCTCTGTCAAATAAATAAATTAAAAAAACAAAAACAAAAACAAAACCAGGGTTGCCTGACTGGGAGACCAGGGCTGTTTTGAAATCAGATGTGTGAATTAGCTTTTGCTGTCTGACAAATAGTCATAACCCGTTGGTGGCATATAACAACAGGTGTTTATTGCTCACATGACTGAGGTCAGCTGGGATTGGCTCTGCTCTTTGTGAACGAGGCTTGCTTCCACAGCTGGGGGTTAGCTTCTGTCATCTGATGTGGGCTGGCTTCCACTGGGGCCACTGGAGTGGCTTAGCACTGTCCCCATGTCTCCCATCCTTTAGGCCCCTCAGGCCAGTAGCTTGAGTAAAGAAAAGGGATGGGGGGGCCACCTGGGTGGCTCAGTCAGTTAAGTATCCGCCATCAGCTCAGGTCAGGAACTCAGGGTCTTGGGACCGAGCCCCACATTTTCGGGCTCCCTGCTCAGTGGGGACCCTGCTTCTCCCTCTCCCTCTGCTCCTCCCCCTGCTCATTCACTCTCTCTCAAATAAAGAAATAAAATCTTTTTTCCAAAGTGGGGGATGGGAAGATAGCATGGCCACAGAACCCACGTTAGCCCAAATGAACTCATTGAACCCAAATCCCACGTGGGCAGCAGCACGCAGAGTGCCCGTAGATGCAGTTGGTGGTTGGCCTTGTAGATGCAGTTGGTGGTTGGCCTTGTAGCCAAATGAAGTCGTGCCCGGAAGCACACGTAGATGACCCCTACCAGCCGAGCTGCTCCCCTCTTTGTCCTCCTCCTCCTCCCTCGTGGGTTCTGGGCGACAGGGTGGCCTAGACCAAGAGCTCTCCAGAGTTGCCTCTGAGTGTCACTGGCATGTTTCATTTACCTCAAGCAAGCCGGGGCCTCAAGAGGCAGCAGTGTTAGCTCGGGCAGAGCCTCTTGTCTGCAGATGACTGAGGATGAACATGGACTCAGTGACACGGGGCGGGGGTGGGCTCCATGGAGCCGTTCTCGCATCATCCCCCCATGGCAGATTCATTACACAGTACTTCAAGGTGAGACTCAGGGGTGACAGCTGCCTTCCAGCTGAGCCTGGCCTGAGAACGTCTGAGGGGACGTTCTGAAGCCGGAGTCCCAGGTGCGGGTCACAGATGTTGGCTGTCTCCCATCTGGGCCCACCGCTGCCTTCTGGATGGAGCTCCACTTCCTTGTGCAAAGAATCAGAACCCGAAACCCAGAACAATTCATATACAACTTTCAAAACAGACCAAGCGGGGGCCTCTTCTGTTTTCGTCCGCGGTCCAGCTGCCCTGTGGCGTATGAAGTTACCCCAGAACTCGGTGGTGTAAGATAGCCACTTCTTCTCTGGAATTCTGTGGGGGCAGGAATTGGGGCAGGGCCCAGTGAAGAGGCCTTGACTTTGCTCCATAATGCCAGGGCGTGGGCTGGGAAGACTTGAAAGCTGGGGCTGGGATGGGCTGCTGTCTCACTCTCTCACATGTCACAGCTGGTGCTGGCTGGCGACGGGGCCCTTAGCTGGGGCTGTGGGCCGGATACAGCCATGCGTGGCCTCTCCAAGAGTCTGAGCCTCCGTGTAACATGGTAGCAGGGTTCCAGGGGTGAGCATCTTAAGACAGAGGGCAGAAGGAAGTCAGTACTGAGATCTGTTTAACACCATATTTGAGGTGGCCAGCAAGGCTGCTGAGGTTGACGGAGGGGAAATAGATTCTGCTTCTTGGTGAGGCACAGCAAGGTTCTAGAAGAGTCTTTGGGACTGCAAATGCTGCTGTGGCCATTTGGGGAGACACAGTCAGTGACTGTGCATAGAGTGGTGGGTGCTCTGTTTACACCTCGTTACTGAGGCGGAGGCTGCAGAGAGCTGGGCTAAGCCTTCCTTGCCAGTCCTCCCCACTGCACCGTTCCGCATCCCCACCCCAGACCACCGAGCCCTTGGGAAAGCTTTACAAATCAGGGCTTTGCTGATGCATTCATCTGCTCAGTCTCACAGCTTGGGAAAAACATAAAAGAGGCAGGAAGCAATGATACTGTGATTAAGAAGCACATTCTGGAACGAAATGGAAAACCTGAATCCCATCTCTGTGCATACAGCTCTACGACCTGGGGCAGATGCCTCTTCCAGGCCTCAGTTTCCTCATCTGTGGAATGGGGGGTAATAATAGAATTTACCCCCGTGCCTAATGAAATTAGCCATTCATGGAAATAGTAAACCCGCACCCCCCTCAGGTCCCAGCAAGGGCAGTAAGCCCTGCCCCTGCCCCCTTCCGGTCCTGGAGAAGATTCTTTGGCAGTCACAGTCTTTTATTTTGTTAATCATCTCATCAGGGAACCTCTGAGAAACGCTAGCCCCTTCTACCAGTAAGACCGTGGCTACACAGAGGGGTCTTACCCAGCTGATTTTATCCAGTTTTCTAGGTCTTATAATCTTAAAAAACAACAACAAACAGCATTTAATAGATTTTCTGTGTTTTCCCATTTCTGAATTTATATGTTGTATTGTCTTGGTTCTAAGATCCTACTGACGGGAAGACTCTCCCTCCATTGATTTTAGAACCTAGGGGCAGGGGGGAGGTCAGGAGCACTAATCTGTTGTAAATTATGTTCCAGTCTCAACAGCATCAGTGTGTGTGTTGCACATTTACAAATCATAATTAAGGAAACATATTCTGTTCATTAGAATTTAGAAATATTGGAAAACACAAATGGGAAAATTAGAACCTCTTATGACACTTAAGAGCTAGGGGGACACCACTAGCCAGCTGGTCTGGGGCATAAACTAGGATTATCCTGAACAAACTAGAGTCTCCACACCCCTCACCTAAAACCGTGAGTTACGATGAGCTGTGAACCACATGCTGGGGACTTGGCTGCCATTTTTATCTCTTGGCATACAGGCAAGTGTATTTTTACATTGTGACCTTTTTTCACTTTGGGACCTTTATTACTATGGGACTATATTTTTACGTTGTGACCTTTTTTCACTTTGGGACTTTATTACTATGGGACTATATTTATTACTATTGTTATGCCCCAATAATGGGTCCGTGATTAAAGGAGCGAGACTGATA